TTTTTATTTTAATTCCAGTTAGTTAACATACAGTATTAGTTTCAGGTCTACGGTATAGTGATCAAACAATTCCATACATCACCTGGTGCTCATCATGACAAGTGCACTCCTTAATCCACATCAGGATTTTAACCCATTCCCTCCCACACCCACCCCCTCTGGTAACCATCAGATTATTCTCTATAATTAAGAGTCTGTGTTTTCCTTTGTCTCTCTTATTTTTTCCCTTTGCCTGTTTTCTTCCCTAAATTCTAGATTTGAGTGAAATCATATAATATTATTTTTCTCTGACTGATTTATTTTACTTAGCATTATAGTCTTTAGCTCTGTGCATGTCATTGCAAATGGCAAGATTTCACTCTTTTTTTTTTTTAAATTTCATCCTTTTCTATAGCTGAATAATATTCCATTGCTGTCTATTGTTGATGGACACTTGGGCTGCTTTCATATCTTAGGTATTGTAAATAATGCTGCTATAAATATAGGGGCGCATGTATCCCTTTGAATTAGTGTTCTTGTATCGTTTGGGTAGATACCAAGTATTGTGATTTCCGGAATCTAGGGTAAGTCCTATTTTTAACTTTTTGAGGAACCTCTATACTGTTTTCCACAATGGCTGTACCAGTTTGCACTCCCACCAGTAGTGCATGAGTGTTCCTTTTACTCCATATCCTTGCCAACACCTGTTTCTTGTGTTGTTAATTTTAGCCATTCTGATAGGTGTGAGGTGATATCTCATTGTAGATATTTGATTTGCATTTCCCTCATGGTGAGTGATATTGGGCATCTTTTCATGTGTCTGTTGGCCATCTGGACGTCTTCTTTGGAAAAATTTCTGTTCATGTCTTCTGCCCATTTTTAATTAGATTATTTGTTTTTTGAGTGTTGAGTTTTTGTAACTTCTTTATATATTTTGGATACTAAATCTTTATTGGAGATGGTTTGGTTGTTATTTCTCATCTCTCATTTGTGATTTTATTTATTTGAGTCCTTCCTTCCTCTTTATTTCATGGTAAGTCTGGCTAGAGGTTTTTGATTTTTTTTTAAATTTTTTTCAAAGAACCAGCTCCTGGTTTCATTGATCTGTTCTATTGTTTTTTTTAGTTTCTATAACATTTATGTCTGCTCTAATATTTATTATTTCCTTCCTTCTGCTGGTTTTTGGTTTGGTTTTGTTGTTCCTTTTTTTTAGCTCCTTTAGGTACAAGGTTAGATTGTTTATTTGGGATTTTTCTTGTTTCTTGAGGTAGGCCTGTATTGCTATAAATTTCCCTCTTAGAAACACTTTTGCTGCATCCCAGAGGTTTCCATGGACTTTTTAATTTCTCTTTTGATTTTCTGGCTGACCTATTCATTGTTTAGTAGCATGTTATTTAACCTCCATGTATTTGTGGTCTTTCCAGATTTTTTCTTGTGGTTGATTTCTAGTTTCATAACGTTGTGGTCAGAAGAGATGCATGGTATGATTTTGACCTTCTTGGATTTGTTGAGATTTGTTTTGTGGGCTAATATGTGATCTATTCAGGAGAATGCTCCATGTGCACTTGAAAAGAATATGTATTCTGCTGTTTTAGGATGGAATGTTCTGAATATATCTGTTAAGTCCATCTGGTCCAGTATATCCTTCAAAGCCATTGTTTCCTTGTTGATGATCTGTTTAGATGATCCATCCATTTATGTAAGTGGGGTGTTAAAGTCACTATTATTATTGTATTATCGATTAGTTCCTTTACATTTGTTATTAACTGATTTATGGTTTTGGGTGCTTCTATGTTGGGTGTATAAATATTTATAATTGTTATATCTTCTTGTTGGATTATTACCTTTATTATTGTATAGTGCTCTTTTTTTGTCTCTTGGTATAGTTTTTGTTTTAAAGTCTATTTTGGGGGCGCCTGGGTGGCGCAGTCGGTTGAGCGTCCGACTTCAGCCAGGTCATGATCTCGCGGTCCGTGAGTTCGAGCCCCGCGTCGGGCTCTGGGCTGATGGCTCAGAGCCTGGAGCCTGTTTCTGATTCTGTGTCTCCCTCTCTCTCTGCCCCTCCCCCGTTCATGCTCTGTCTCTCTCTGTCCCAAAAATAAATAAACGTTGAAAAAAAAATAAAAAAAAAAATAAATAAAGTCTATTTTGTCCCATATAAGTATTGCTACTCCGGTTTTCTTTTGCCCATAATCCAATAACTTAAAACTTTTCTTCACATGTTTTTTTCCACACTGTGTGTGTGTGTGTGTGTGTGTGTGTGTGTGTGTGTGTTTTAGTTGTTTAAAGTACTAGAACAAGTCCCATATCGTTATTCCTTTATAGGTAGAAGCAAAAGTCCATCTTCTCTTTTTTTGTTTTGTTTTGCTTCTGTCAAGACTTTCACTTTTCCCCTAATAATACATACTTCATTTGCCCTGTTTTGCAATCACAGTTAAAAAAAAATTAGAAGTGCAGAAACTAGTTTTAATCATTTGAACATAAGCACAGTGGTGACTGAAAATATAAACTTTCAAAAAGGCTTTCCCAAAAAGTGCACACCTTTGAAAAAGAAAAAGAAACCCTACAGTTGGATATAGTAGCTCTTTGTATAACTTAACCTGCTTACAAAGCATTTTCATTTATAGAGTTGTATTGTCTCTACTGTTGCCAGTTATTTCTAAGCACAAAATGTTTTAGCAATGTATATTAGGAAACAGATTAAACATGCTTTGAAAGTTTCAAAATGAAAATGAAAACTAATACTCCAAATGTTTCTATTCTGCACATGGGCACATGGCCTCTATAGTTCCATTTCCTAGCTTGCTCTCCTTCTTTGGGCTGCTACTCTCAAAGGCTTTTTCAGATAGGGTTGAGGAGCTCCATATGTCATTCTGTGTTTCATATGGGATTCTGTCTAAGGTAATTTGGCATCTCCTGTCCTGTTTCTTTTGATGTTTCTTACTCACAGACACTTAAAAGGCAGTGCAGATTTTGGAGTCAAACAGATTTGGGTAGTTCAAATATTAGCATCGTCTCAAGTTATTTTATGTCCCTGATAGTTTTTTTTCCTTAAATTTCATCCACAAACAGAAACACTAATGTTTAAATGGCAGGAGATTTGTGGACCTTAGAGCAGAGTAATGTGCTTGGCACACTGCCTGACATACATGACTTCATCCAAAACTGGGATTTGCTACTGCTGTACCTTCATCTTCTAGATTTTATTTAAAATAACATTTGGCTCAAATACTACAGATTTGTAAGCAGCATTTTGCCTTTAAAATAGTCTCTAAACTTATTACTGTAGCTTAAAATGAAATAAACATGTACTGATTTTAGTGCCCCAGCAATTAGTACCATATAAGGTTAGAGTATCTAATGTCAAAAGAATGACTAAATCAGTAGGCTGAAGATTCCTTCCCATAGGTTTTTCTTTTAAGTTTATTTATTTATTTTGAGAGAATGAAAGAGCAAGAGGAGGGGAGGGGAAGAGAGAGAGAATCTCAAGCAGGTTCCACACTGTCAGTGCAGACAGAGCCCAATGTGGGGCTCGAACTCATGAATCACGAGATCATGAGCTGAGCCAAAATCAAGAGTTGGATGCTTAACCGACTGAGTCACCCAGGCACCCTCCCACCTTTTATATTTTTTCTTTTCTGAGGTGACATTAATTAACATAAAATTAATCATTTAAAAGTACACAATTCAGTGGCATTTTTTTTTCTTTCTTTCTTTTTTTTTAAATTTTTTTTCAACGTTTATTTATTTTTGGGACAGAGAGAGACAGAGCATGAACGGGGGAGGGGCAGAGAGAGAGGGAGACACAGAATCGGAAGCAGGCTCCAGGCTCTGAGCCATCAGCCCAGAGCCCGACGCGGGGCTCGAACTCACGGACCACGAGATCGTGACCTGGCTGAAGTCGGCCGCTTAACCGACTGCGCCACCCAGGCGCCCCTTCAGTGGCATTTAGTATACTCACAGTGTTGTGTAACTACCATCTCTATCTAGTTCCAAAAGAAAATCCTGTGCCCATTAAGCATTCAGTTCCCATTCCCCTCTCTCCCAGCCCCTGGCAACCACCAGTTTGTTTTGTGTCTCTATAGATTTACCTATTCTAGATATTTCATATGAGTAGGATTATATAATGTGTAGCCTTTTGTGACTGGCTTCTTTCATTTAACATATTATTTTCGAGGTTCATCCATGTTGTAGCATATAGCAATACTTCATTCTTTCTATGGCAGAATAATATTTCATTGTATGGATATACTATATTTTGTTTATCCATTCACCCATTGATGTACATTTAGGTTGTTTCTGCCTTTCTTGACCATCGTGAATAGTGCTACTATGAATATTCATGTATGTGTATTTCAGTACCTGCTTCCAATTCTTTGGGATATATACTGAGGGGTGGGATTTCTGGATCATGCGGTAATTCTGTTTAGCTTTTGGGAGGTGCTTTTGGGTTTGTTTCTCCAAGGGGAAAGGCACAATCAGAGAAATGGGACCTGAAAACTCAGGTGAGCCATGCAGCCAACCCAATTTTTGTCTGTCCCACTCAGGCAACCATTTACCTTGTCTTTAACTTCTTCTGCCAGCAGAGAAAGATGAGCGCTGCGGGTTCCTTACACCTCTGGCATCTGTCCCCTAGGTCTGTGTCTGGCTGTCCCTGGGAAAACTGTGAGGTGGTGCACTATCTCAAATCATGAGGCCAGTAAGTGCTCTGATTTCAGTGGCAATATGAAAAAAGTCCTTCCAGCGGATGGTCCTCATGTCACCTGTGTGAAGAGAGCCTCTCACTTTGAGTGCATCAAGTCCATTTGGGTAAGTCACAGCTGCCCAAAGGAGAATGGAAGAAAATCCATACTTCCTTTTTCTGTACTTGTTAGTGTTTATTGCTTCAGAACAACTTTCTTCCCACAGGAACTAGACCATGCTTTAAAGGAGAAGGAAATAAGCTAAAGACCTGAAAGTACAGGGACCGTGTAGAGAGAAAAATATAGGTGCTCAACATTCATTAATAGTAAAAGCAATAATAGTAATTAAACAACTAATAGAGAAGGATTCAGTGAAAATGCCAACAGGAAAGCTAAGCCAGAATTGCACTGGAGTCAGAAATAAGAAGCTGTCGTATCACCATTATTATTTAACATTGTTTTTGGAACTTTCCAGTAATGCAATAAGATACAAAATACATATGAAGTAGAAAGAAACAAATAAAATATCAATATTTTCAGATGATTGCATGCCTGGAAAGTAGGGTAGAATCAAGAAAAATATTACTATAATGAACTATTGGGACCTCATCAAGATAAAAATCTGCATGGCAAAGGAAACAACAAAACTAAAAGGCAACTGATGGGATGGGAGAAGATATTTGCAAATGACTTATCAGATTAAAGGCTAGTATCCAAAATCTATGAAGAACTTATCAAACTCAACAAACCCCCCCCCCAAAAAACAATAATCCAGTGAAGAAATGGGCAAAAGACATGAATAGATACTTTTCTAGAGAAGACATCCAGATGGCTAGTAGACACACGAAAAAAGTGCTCAACATCACTCATCATCAGAGAAATACAAATCAAGAGCACAATGAAATAACCACCTCACACCAGTCAGAATGGCTAAAATTAACAACTCGGGCAACAACAGATGCTGGTGAGGATGCAGAGAAAGAGGAACATTTTGCATTTGTGGTGGGAATGCAAACTGATGCAGCCACTCTGGGAAACAGTATGGAGGTTCCACAAAAAGTGAAAAATAGAATTACCCTACAATCCAGCAATTACACTAAGTATTTATCCAAAGGATACAGGTATGCTGTTTCAAAGGGGCACACGTACCCCAATGTTTGGAAAGAGCCCAAATGTCCATCAACAGATGAATGGATAAAGAAGATGTGGTATATATATATACATACACACACACACACACACACACACAATGGAGTGTTATTTGGCAAAAAGAAATATTGCCATTTGCAACAACGTGGATGGAACTAGAGGGTATTATGCAAAGCAAAATTAGCCAGTCAGAGAAAGACAAATATCATATGACTTCACTCATATGTGGAATTTAAGATACAAAACAGATTAACAGAAGGGAAGGGAAGCAAAAATAATATAAAAACAT